TGCTGCTGAGTGCATGGACTACGTTCCCCCCGAGTACTCAGCTGGTTTAGTAATAGGAAAATAATCTCAACAGAGGACCGCACACACAATGAGTAAAGTGAGAGCATATGCTCCGCTCGCTCCGCAAAATGGGGTAGCGAGCCCCCATCCTCCAACAGAATGCGAAAATATGCACATGGTCAACTACATGTGTTGGTTTTCTGAGAAGTTTTGGCAAATTCTCAGTGATTTCTGTACAAAATCGTTTATAATTGGAAAAGTCCTTAGCTCAGCTAAGGTAAGCAAGCATATACTCCTCGAGCCCCATCCTACGATCGGCATTTCCTGCATCGCACCACCGTGCTGACCCCAACAGCATTGAAGTTGACCACCGGGACCTCGGGACACCCCGCTGGGACCGGAGCCATCGGTTGGAAATACATACCTATACAACACTGCTACGGACGACTGCCAAACTGAGTAAACTACCTATAGGAATCTTAGTCTTAGATCGCACATTGAGAGAGTTGGGAAACTTGGACACACTGCAGCGAACGAAATGTGGAGGCGAGGAAAACTCAGCACAGTCAGCCATCTGAAAACCCACGCCTGGCCCCACGGCCCATCACACCCGCCCAAGTACCCTCTGCTCATCCCTACCCTCCGTCTGGGCCCCACCATAGCCACCACTTAGCAACTGGTCTGAAAAAGCAGTGCTGGTCCACCTAATGCTAGTAACAATAGTAATACTCGGCTGAGGCGGCTGGCTTGAACTCTGTTGATTGGGAAAATCTGCCTGCCCCCCAAAGGCAGCAGGCACCGGAGGGCCACCTTGATTCGCAAAGGATCCGGACTGAGAACAGGAGTCAACCACCTCGTTATGGGCTATCCCATTATACTCACCCCCTGGTTTTGAAAAGGTCCTCCGCTGAGGCCAGATGGAGGCATCTAAAGTAGGCAATTACAAAACCATCGTATGCACCTCCTACCCCCGGTCCACTCGGAGGAGGCACCCCATACTGCTGACCCGCTGCTGGGGGTGATGGGGGCCCAGCTGAGCTCTGATAGTGCATGGACCCTCCAGCAATCCCAGGAGGTGGGGCCACTCCCATTGCTCCCGGAGGCTGGCCATTGGCCAT